AGTGCCCCCCCTTAGCCACAGGATAAGTTCCAACACCCCAGGGGATGCCCAGCACCCTGGATAATACTAATCCCTATGCAGTCATGTGACACTAACAAGAAGATATGTGGTGAGAAACGCATCATTAGACAATTTCATCTTGTGGGAAGATCACCGAGCTCACTTACACAGACCTAGACCCGTAGTCAGCAAACTGCGGCTCCTGAGCCACATGCGGCTCTTTGGCCCCTTGAATGTGGCTCTTCCACAAAATACTATAGCCTGGGTTAGTCTGTTTTGAAGAAGTGGCATTAGAAGAAGCTTAAGTTTAAAAAATTTGGCTCTCAAAAGAAATTTCAATCGTTGTACTGTTGATATTTGGCTCCTTTGACTAATGAGTTTGCCGACGACTGGACTAGACCATAGTTTAATGTGACTGGCAGTGTAAGAGGTTTATTTACAGAAGCAACACCATCAGTTTACACCATCACCACTTTCACATGAATAATGTCTTGCACTAGGACTTAATCACAGCTACTACCTCTCTAGCAATAGGAAGTTTCAGCCAAGATATAATCTTTTAAGATCACTGATCTATATGTAGTCTGTCATTTAGAGAAAGCTCATAGACTACACATACTATGTTTTTTTTACTATACATACATACCTATGATAAAGTTTAATTTATAAATTAGTCACAGTAAGAGATTAAGAATAATAAAATAGAACAATTATAACAGTGTATTGCAATAAAAATTGTGAGCATGGGCTCGCTCTCTCTCTCTCTCTCTCTCTCTCCTTATTGAGAGGAATTCAGAGAAAAGCCCATGCAGACATGGGGAGAATGTGCAAATTCCACAGATAGAGGCACAGCAGGAAACTGATTTTTTTTTTTTCTCATCAACATTATAACCAAATGCCATTTCTCAAGGACATGCTGGTAAGCATGGATACAGTGGACAAAGGAATGATTCACATTCCAGGCAGCTTGGAGCAGGAGGCATGAGATTCCATCACACTACTTGGAATGGCAAGCAATTTAAAACTTGGGAGTTATTTATTTCTGGAGTTTTCAACATAATATTCTCAGATCAAGAGGTGAACCACAAGTAACTGAAAGCATGTAAAGCAAAGCCTAGGATAAGGAGGTCTACTGTAGGCCCTTATCTTTCTCCACAACCAAGGTCTATTCTTCCGGGGAAAGACCTTGCCGAATGGCATTCCTCACAGTCCAGACCCATCTAGCCTTCCTCTCTCAACTGGAGGGGGAGACAGAGAAACTAATAAGCATGCAGGAAGCTCAAAGTCCGTAGACACCAAAATTTAACTATGAAACGATACAACACTCCCCTCCCTTTACCAATATCATCAACAGGCCTCCAGTATGAGAAAGGGGATTACAGCAAAAAAGAGATGCAAAACACAGACTCAGTTCTTAGAGAAGCCCAAAGACAACCGAAGAGATGCCAGGTAAACCTGATGCCTCTGGTAACAGCCCAACTCCTCGCTAGACTACAATTAGACCTCACACTGAGCCCATATACCTCACTTCCTATCACCCGTACATCAGGTCAGTTTTAATAAAACAGCCCACAACATGCTAAGGACAAGGAAACAGAGGCAGGAGATCAGGTGACACACTTTAAGTGATAATCCGATGAAAGATGAAGTTGGCTTGGCCCAAGGTAGCAGTGGAAGTGGTAACAAGTGGTCAAGATCCTGAGGTATTCTGAAGACAGCAGAGATGAATTGCTAATGAAATGGAAGAAGGATGTGACAGACAAAGTGGAGGTGGGGATGACTCCAAAGTGTGGGCCAGTGCTGCAGGGGAAATGGAGCTGCCATCTACTAAGATAGTAAAGGCTTTGAGTAAAACAGTTGGCTGGAGTTCAGAAGTTTTGAGGGGGCAGTTAATCCTCACCTCAGGATATTTTTCCATTGAGTTTTAGAGATTGTGGAAGGAAGGGAGAGAGGCAGAGAGAGAAACATTGATGTGAGAGAGACACATCTATTGATTGCTTCCTGCATTCCCTGACCAGGCCTAAGGATCCAGTTTGCAATCGAGGTATGTGCCCTTGACCAGAATCGAATCAGGGACCCTTCTTCACACAGGCCAACATTATCCACTGAACCAAACCAGCTAGGGCTGGAATTCAATTTTTAATGTCTCAAATGATTTAATAAATACTGGTCAGTTGTGCATTCAGTTCACTAATAGTATTTGGAGTGCTTAATACTATAACAAAAAGGCATAAAAATAAATTGGAAATCAAGAAAATGCTTAATAATTATTTTACCTAATAAATGGATAAATGAACAAATGATCAGATATGTTAACCATGTCACCAAAATAACTTCACCAATAATCATCACTGTCAACAGTAATAGCAGGTAAGGCTGGAAAACATCTAGGAGTTTACAAAATGCTTCAGCCAAGCCCAGGATGGAGCCTGTTAAAGACACTCCTGCCCTTCCTTTTCCTTCAGATTAAGAAACTGAATTTGGGTTCCTGCCTTCCCAAAATAAAGATACCATTCCCCAGCCCTCTCTGCAGCTAGGTGTGGCCAAACAGTCTGTGAGCAAACATTGGGTGTGCAATCTCTGAGGTGGGTATACCCTCTTAAAGACAAAGGGTATACCCACCACTTGCCCTTTCTCTCCCTCTTCCTGTTAGCTGAAGTGCTGAAGTGACAATGAGCCATTTTGGACCACAGGGACAGGGTGACACTACTGAGATGGCAAGAGAACAAAAGAGAAGGGGCTGAGATCCTGAAAACCCATGGCGCCATCTTATCAGCGCTGGGCTGCGCTTGCTTAGGTTGTTACATGAAAGAATAAGGCTTCTATCTTACTCAAGCCACTGTTATCATGGCTCTTTGTTACAGGAGCTGAAAACTTAACCAATAAATTAACTAAACCCTCAGAGCAATCCTGGGATGCAAATAGTGTGCTGATATTTTTCTTATAATTCCTTGTTATGTATCTGTTTTAAACAGCAGGAAAATAAACCAGCAGCACAGCCTTGTTGTATATATGTATATCTACCAGTGAAGAAAAAGGAACTGAAAAATATTCTGTGAGAACAGGTTGCAACAATTTTTACAGCAAGATTTAGATCCAGGCATCCAATACACTGTAGTACTGTAGTACTCACTACCTACAAAAGCCATAGGGTGAAGATTTTTCCATGAGAATATGCTATGCACTGATTTCACTCATATGTGGAATCTAATAAACAAAATGAACTAATAAGCAAAACAGAGACAGACTCATAGATAAAGAACAGGAACACAGCTGTTAGGGTGGAGTTGGTGAGGGTGGAGGGAATGAGCAAAAAAGAGAAATAGAAAAAACAAAGTTTCTAGTCTACTTAAAATTCCTGCAATCTATTAAACAGTGTAAGTACCAACAATTAGTTTGTTGGCTTCCAGACATATATAGTTGCTCATTCACAGTAGTAGGCTTGCAGGAGGCGGTTGATCAATGATTCTCTCTCATCATTGATGTTTCTCATCCTCTCCCTTCTTCTTTGAAATCAATTTAAAAAATTATAGTCAAGGGCACTGACCTCTTTTTACTCAGACTGTCAAATAAAAAAATGACAACAACCAACACAATAGCCATCTGATGTGAATGAATCAAACATACACTTTTTTTTTTTTGTCAGAACAAGCAAAAGGGTATTTTTTTGTTGTGTCACAGAATTTTAGCAATTAATTTATGTGTGCCATGACATGAACAAGTTGAAAATCACTGGTCTAGATCATTGTGTATATATCCTGATATACATCAGCAGGGCATTCCATACAACTGGAATGGTTTTGTATTTTTAGTATTTAAATACTGGTACAGAATTGTGTTAGGAAAAGTAGAAGACCAGTTCAAATGCAAGCAAACATACTTTAAAGGATACATAACTAAAGAATGGATTATGAAGAACTTGAATATTTGGCACTATTTATTATACTTCTATACTTAAAATGTAAACTTATTTTCATTTAATTGTTTTCAAGCTTCCATAACCATTTAATTGCCTAACCCAGAGAAATCCTTTGTAACAGTTTTTTTTTCTTTTTTTTTTATAAATATATTTTATGATTTTTTCCAAAGAGAGGAAGGGAGAGGGATAGATAGCTAGAAACATCGATGAGAGAGAAACATCGATCAGCTGCCTCCTGCACACCCCCTACCGGGCATGTGCCTGCAACCAATGTACATGCCCTTAACCGGAATCGAACCTGGGACCTTTCAGTCCACAGGCCGACGCTCTATCCAATGATCCAAACCGGTTTTGGCTGTAACAGCTTTTGACTATTCATTTATAGATCCTGAGATTTGCTAAAATAACTTCCTAAATCAAAAGCAATTAAAATATATATATAACCAACCTTCTCACGGTATAGTGAAAAGCTTATTTCCCCAAGTGACTTAAGAACTCAAATAAGAATGTGCTCACTACTTGGCAGCACCCCAGTTATTTGGCCTCTGCAAAGCTAAGGGTGACTCACGCTTGCATGCGTAAGCACTGACACCGACAGACACAGTTCCAAGGCTCAGAGGTTAGACTTACCTCTAACTCTGCTAACTATGTCAATGTCTTTCTTGTGGTGTTTACTCAGATGATGCTCACAAAACAGAAGAGCTCAAGTATACTTAGTTGTTTTAACCTGACTTTTATTACACTCTGAAAGAGGTGATGTTCATCAGTATTTTAAAATGTGGAAACCATGCATTTTTCTAAAATCTTATGGTAATCGATATTTTTACATAACAAGAGTTCTAATTCCTCTGGACAAATGTAGCCAAGGACATTGAAAATACTTCTCTATTCCAAATATGGAATGCTGATAATGTCTCTAAACTGTCCTGCTCCTCTCTTAAAAGATGAAAAGAAGAAAAGGTATGGGCATTGCATAAAAGGACCTCTTCATCCTTAATACTGTGTTCTAAGACAAGAAGCATAGACATAAAAAGGCAGAAAGAGTAAACTGTCTAGGTAAAAGCATAAAATAAAGTATTACCTTTAGCTGGGTTTACTTTTATCCCTGACCTATACAGCATTTCCTCATTCTGCCAGTCTCCATTCCTGATTGCAGTCTTGAGTCCATAGAAAACAATTAATGTAGCTGTAGCATAAAAAATCAAGCTCTTGAGAAACCGCTTTTGGACTTTGACATAAAGGGCTCTGGCACCCACTGTAACGAGGAGGCAGAAGCCCATACTAGGAATATACAATACTCGCTCTGCAATTACAAAGCCGACATAGAAAAACAGGTTCGTGGCAGGAACAAAAGGTATTATTAACAAAGATAGAGACAGAATAACAATGTTCTCTGTAGAAGGAAGCTGTGTTGTCTGTGGTACATTATTTTTAATGCCATTTTCTACTTTGGATGCAAAGCTGGGCTTGATCTCTGAGTTCCGGTACTCCACATCTGAATGGCAGCTATGTCCATTTGCATTCTGCTTGCCATTTGTTACAAATTTCCCATAGCATTCTCTTTCCATGCTTGGGCTCTTTAAACCGCAGTAGGCAAGGAGGAGGAGTCCAATATAGAAGGCCACAGTGTGTAGGTTTCTCCAATCACAAATTGTTTTGAGCAGAGGCACGGCATCCATTGACCAATCAAAACTGAGGGTATCAGGGCAGAGTAACAGCCAGAGGTTCTTGGTTGGCAAGTAGAAGAAGGTGAGTGTGCGAGCCAGGAGACTGTCAGAATCAGCAGCTGGGTTGTCAGAGTTGGAAAAGCTCGGTGGTTTGTTTCCCATCCAGTATAAACGGGCACCCAACAGGGAAGTCCCCCAGAGAGTTAACAAACTAATGCTGAGGAAAAGTGGCAAATTCTTCCCCTGAAACCAAAAGAGAGGGAGGGAAAATTAAGATGATCATCAATACAGCATGGTGACACTTCACTTAACAGTTAGAGATGAAATACATTTTTAAATGGACAGTTAACACAGCATTATGTCTTAAATATATGACTTCATCCACCTCCTTTTTAACATGTTTAGGAAAATTTCAACCTAAAAAAAATTGATGGTAGAATCCAATATCGTATATAACTTTTGATGAGTAGTTTTTCTTCTCATTCCTTTTCTAAAGTACCAATAAGCAAAGATTCAATTTCTTGACCTCTACAAAGAGAGTCACGTATATTTCCTTCTTGGAATTAGCATTAGGTCAAAATAAGACAACAATGTGAAAGTACTTAGCATTCTTAGTAGGCATCTAATAACTGAGTTCTTTCATTTTACAATTTAGATACAGGGAAAAACAAAAAAATATATATATGAGAACAGGATTCCGCTCAGCTCGAAAGTTGGAATAGCATTTAGACATGTCTATGTCAGTCCTGATTTTATTGTCTTGAATATCCTTGCAGAATTTATAAACCAGGCTTTCTTTCACCTGTGGCCACTGGCATCAGTGTCATCCACCATTTAATAACACTCCTCACAAATGTGAAGTTTTTCATGTTAATGACAACTTTTAAGAATACAATGACTTTACAACAAACTTATTTTATGAGGAAGAAAATTGTGAGATGAAATCAAAAGGACATCCTTGTTACTGAGAATATTGTGGCAAACTCTTTCAATCCCAATAAGAATTTAGTGACCTCAAACAATCTAAATCCTGAGAATGAAGAAAATATTTGCAAATAATACATTAATTTCTAAAATATATCCATAATTCATACAACTCAATTGAAAAAAAAATACAATTACAAAATGGTCAGAGGATCTGAATAAACATTTTTCAAAAAAAAAGATATAACAGACATCACTAATCATCAGAAAAATGTAAATCAAAACCACAAACAGATATTACCCCACACATTTCACAATGGCTATTATCAAAAAGATAGATAACAAGTGTGGATAAGGATGTGGATAAAAGGGAAACCTTGTGTACAGTTGGTGGGAATGTAAATTGGTGCACCCACTATGGAAAATAAGCATGGAAATGCCTCATTAAAATAGAATTACCATCTGATCCAGCAATCCCATTTCTGGTTCTTTATCTGAAGAAACTGAAATTACTATCTCATAAAGATACCTGCATCCCCATGTTTACTGCAGGATTATTTATAGCAGCCAAATCATGAAAGGAACCCACATGTATATTGATAGATGAATGAATAAAGAAAATGTGATATGGATATCTATATATACCTCAAATGGAATATTACCCAGCTATAAAAAGAAGGAAACACTGCCATTTGCCACAACATGAATATACTTTAATGGCATCATGCTAAGAGAAATCAGTCAATCAGAGAAAGAAAAATAATGTATTACCCCAAAGGCAGAATCTTAAAAAACCTCACAAACTCACATATTCAGAGGACAAATTGATGGGTGGCAGAGATGGGGGGAGGTAAAGGGGTAAATGGCGAAAGTGGTCAAAAGATACAAGTTCCAGTATATATATATATATATATATATATATATATATATATATATATATATATGGCTAAGTGACCATGGCATGTGAAACAACCAGACAACAGCAGACAACAGAACAGGTTGTGTGGGGCAACTAGGCTGGCAGGGGGGTTAGTGAAAGGCCACCAAATGACCAACCAAGCAATAGGCTGCATGGGGCTACCAAGCCAGTGTGTGTGTGTTGGGGGGAAGTTGGGGGCAACAAGGCTGGCGGAGGGGTGGCAGTGAGGGGCCACTAGGACACCAGAGGGGGGCAGTGAGGGGCGACCAGGTTGGCAGGGGGTGCGGGCAATTGGAGGCAACCAGGCCGGCAGGGGAGCACTAAGGGGCAACCAGGCAGGTTGGGTGGGGGCAGTTGGGGGTGACCAGGCCAGCAGAGGGGGAAGTTAGGTGCAATCAGGCAAGACAAGTAGGTGAGCAGTTAGGAACCAGTGGTTCCAGATTGTGAGAGAGATGTCCGGCTGCTAGTTTTGGCCCTATATCTGGGATCAGACATCCCCTGAGGGGTCCCAGATTGGAGCGGGTGCAGGCTGGGCTGAGGGAACGCTGCTGTGCACAAATTCCATGCACTGGGCCTCTAGTAAGATAAGTAAGTCTGAGGATGTAATGTGGTGATTACAGTTAACAACACTGTATTATAATAGTATATACTTGACAGTTGGTAATAGAGCAAGACCTTAAAAGTTCACATCACAATAAAAAATAAAATTTTTATAACTATGTGTTACAAAACTTAACTGTGGTAATCATTTCACTATATATATGTTCAATATATATATATATATATTCATATCTCCTTCCCTCCACATTCTATGCATTACACCAAGTCCTCTCACTTTCACTTCAAAATGTATTCTGATGTGTTCATTTCCCTCCTTTCCTTCTGTCATCACTCTAGTTTTAAATGCCAAGACTTGGATTGTCAGAATAGACTCTTCCTAACTGGTAATCTAACCATTTCCAACACAGATAATAGTGATCCCAAATTTTAAAATCATTAATGACAGCTTATTCTAAGATATTAGAAGTTTTTATCTCTAGAAAACAAAAAGTTTATAGTTCATTGAGCAGTTTTCTTGATGGTATATCCACTTTTACATTTCAAAATTATTTTGAACAGTATTTTAGATATTTTAAAAGGGGTAATTCTGGGTATAAAAGACAAGAAGGAAGAGGAGGTTAGAAGTTAAAAATTCAGAATAAGAAAAATTATAAACAACAAATAAATGAAAATTTAAGAGGTGGGACTGTTGTTTAATATCAAATCACAATAATGCTAAATTCATAAAATTAACTGTTTCAGTGTTTTAAAAACTTATTTGGTGGCCCTGGCTGGTTTGGCTGAGTGGATAGAGTGTCACCCTGCAGACTGAAGGGTCCTGGGATCTATTCTAGCTGGGGCACATGTCTGGGTTGCAGTCTTGATCCCCAGTAAGGGACGTGCAGGAGGCAGCCAATCAATGATTCTCATCATTGATGTTTCTCCCTCTCTCCCAACCTTTCTGAAATCAATAAACATATTTAATAAAAAATAAAAACTTCTGTGGCAGACCTCTGCTCAAAATTAACTTTTGTAATGTTATTTGGAATTTTTAGTGGCAGGGGAATATGTTCAGTCATCACCAATCTTTAAATTTCAGATCTCTGCTAGAAAAATGAAATTATTCAAAGCCTCTTTATCATCTAAAAGTAAGTTTGCAACCCATTGTCTGCCTCTTCTGAAATTCAGCACAGCAAAATGCTTAAAATTTCTGGATTATAGGAGAAAAATTAAACTACACAAAACCAAATGTTATAAGTCATAAATAACTTGATGGATCAAGGACATAATTGAGTAGTCTTAGATTATAAAAAGGAGAAACATATCATTTGGCAAAAGTAAATGGGAAAAGATATCATGAATAAAGAAGACTGAACTTGAAAATAATTCAATTTTGAATTTGCACCAAAAATCTATTTTCAAAGTGTAACTGAAGGCCATGCTATTATAATATCTTCTGGTGAGACTGCGTGGGGAGGGGGAAAGGAAGAACAGCTGCAAACAAGCAGGAAGTAAAGCAAAGCAGCAAGAGAACCACAGACACAGGGAGGGAAGAACAGTCAGTTTCTTTGCTAGTCATGGAACTCCAGGATAACGTGACTGTAAGAATTACATAATTATATTTTGTTCCTAAAGTTAGAAACGGCATAATAAGGCAAAACTAACTTATTCATTAATTTGTAATGAAAGCATCTTTAATAATTTATTAAATTGTAATAAACTATCATCAAAATAAGACATTGAGATTTAAGATGTGATAAAAATTGACTCCAGTATTTGTGATGATAGAAGAATTTTTAAATTTTTAAATACAAACTACAATATAAATATGAGTAATGAAAACTATTCCATGGTAAATTTTATATGACTCTAAATGCTGGGAAAATAGTAATCTGTAATAATAAAAGTGTAATATGCAAATCAACCGAATGACTGAACAGCAGAATGACTGTCCGGATGAACTTCAGACAAAGTGGGGGCTGCGAGGGCTGAGGCAGCGGGGGCTGTGAGGGCCTGCTCTTGCACAAATTTCGTGCATCCGGCCTCTAGTATAAACATAAAACCATAAGCAAAAATAAAACTATAGCATTACTTTATGTAGAATATTTATACCAAAACACTTCATTCTAACTTAATGATGAAGTCAGTAAGGGCCAAATAAATGAAAAATTAAAGAAAAACTGAATTAACTAATAGGTAAAAGAAAATCGATATGAAAATGTTTATGAGTTTCTCAGACTTTGTGATTGGCTACTACATTTTAAATATTAGACTAAACTTGAAATCACAGTTTTCAAATCTCTTTAATGTTTTCTAATAGAATTCCGGTGAAATCTATCAGTTATAAAAATGGGATTCTGATGAAATCAATTTCTCTTGTAAATTTATAGCTTTAAAAATAAGATAAAAGAAAAAAAGCATGGAAAAGGTTTTGTTTTTTTTAATTCATTTTAGATTCTGTGCTCTGATTTGTTAATCAAATCAAATTAACAGATTGTTAATGAGCTATGGCTAGGAGCCAAGTAACCATACATTTAGCCTTAGCATCTCTTTGCTCTTGGCTGGTGTATGAAATTGATTCAGCACCAGGTATTTCTCAGATAAAGCACCTGAGTTCTGAGTTGCCACCCCAAACTTGAAAGAGAAAACTGGTGAAAATTCACACAGAGAAGATGCAACTCAAAGACAGGGAAATTTAAACAATCTGACTTTAACCTTTGGTTGGGAGTATTAGAAAATGATTGCAGCCGAACTGGTTTGGCTCAGTGGTAGAGCGTCGGTCTGCGGACTGAAGGGTCCCAGGTTCGATTCCGGTCAGGGGCATGTACATTGGTTGCGGGCACATCCCCGATGGGGGGTG